TACTGCACTGGTTTTTATCTGGTTTATTTAATATTATTCTTGCAACTTGCATTCTTGCATCACTGCTTTCATTTTGTTAAGAATATCATTAAAAAATAGTAGTTTTCCAAAAAGCTTATTTAAGATAAGAACTATTTCAAATTCACATGGGCGTCCTCTTAAGAACTTGACCAGAGTTCGTTTAAACATTTTATTTTAACCTAATAATGTTGTGGTAGTATATACTGGAGACTACCGTTTACCCACGAGAACCAGAGACTATGAAAGAGCTAAGGAATGCCGCTGCAAGCCACCTTATATAACACAATTCTAGCTTAACAAACATTGACATTAACACCAATATATATCTAACATTAGAAACTTTGTTTATATATGTAATATCATTTTCACTCATCAGTGGCTTCATTGGCACAACGCTTGATGCGGGTCGGCTAATGGCCTTACTCTTGAAGTTGTTGAATGCTAAAATCATTCAATAAAGCAATTGCAAACGATTGTCGTGTCGAAATTTCCCTTACTTCAATAGGTGATGGATTCTCTATATGCAGGCGTGCTCTGAGGAACTACTAGGTGTTCTCTATGTAATTTCTGTTTGGGAATGTCATGTGTGAATCATGTTGGCATTAAGTTAAGAACTTAGACTCATGAAAGGATATGTGTATGGACATTGCTAAATATGTGGAAGTGGATGTTAAATCATTCTAGTCAATGAATATGTTTATGTCAGAAATTCAAATACGCATACTGGAAAATATGTTTTCGTTAGTTTCATCCTCAATTGAGGTAATCATATATATAAAGTTTTGTTCCTAAATTAGCTATACAATCAACAAGGATCAAGGAACCAGAACAACTAATTCCTAAAATCTACTTACAACAACTTTGAAAATATTCTCATAAACAGACCAACTAATTCTTATAAAGTCTATTAACAGCAACTTTGAAATTATTTTGTTAAGCAAGATAAGACTTTTGAATTCAAACTTCATTTCAACACTCCCCCTCAAGTTGGTGCATAGATATCAATCATGCCCAACTTGTTAATTTCTTCTTCAAACACTTTTTCCGATACAACTTTTGTCAAAATGTCGGCTAACTGATATTCAAATTTGATGTAGGGAAACTGAATAATTTTTTGATCTAGCTTTTCCTTGATAAAGTGTCTATCCACTTCTACATGCTTAGTTTTATCATGTTGAACTGGATTATGAGCAATTTCATTGACATCTTTATCATCACAACGTAACTCCATAGGTTGATTATAGTAAATTCCTAAGTCTTGTAGGACGCTCTTAATCCTCAATAATTCACATACTCCATATGCTATTCCTTTAAACTCTACTTCTGCATTTGATCTAGCCTTAACTTTTTGCTTCTTACTCTTTCAATTAACTAGATTACATTCAACAAAAGTAAAGTAACCTGAAGTTAATTGTTTGGTAGTTTTATCTCCATCCTAATCCGAATTTGTGTAACCTTTAATTTTGAGACTGTTATTTTTTAAAAAAGAAGACCTTTCCCTAGACACCCTTTTAAATACCTCAAGATTCGATTTACAATATTTGATCCTCACTTGGGTTATGCATAAATCTGCTCACAACATTAACCGCATAAGCAATGTCTGGCCTAGTGTGTGATAAATAAATTAGTCTCCTACTAGCCTTTGATATCTTCCAACATCAGTCTATACTTGATTAGGATATAAGCCCAACACATGATTCATTTCGATTGGTGTTTCTACTGGTTTACATGCTGTCATTCCTGTTTCTGCAAGTAGATCTAAGATGTACTTTTTGTACGACAAAAAAAATCCCTTGATTTGATCTTGCAATTTTAATTCTAAGAAAGTAGCTTTAGTGGTCCTACATTTTTCATTTCATACTCATTTGCTAAATGTTTTTCTAATAACTCCATTTCACGTAAATCCTCACCAGTCAAAACCATATCATCAACATATACTATTAACATTGTTACCTTTCCTCCTTTGTGTTTTATGAATAGGGTGTGGTCTGCATTACCTTGCTTGTATCCAAACTTCTTCATGGATAGAGACAACCTGCAAAACCAGGCTCTAGGTGATTGCTTGAGGCCGTATAGTATTTTTTTCAATCTGCACACTTCATTTCCCTTCAAGTTGGTCTGTTTGATGCCTGATGGAATTTTCATATACATTTCTTCTTCTAAGTCTTCATTTAAAAATACATTCTTTACATCAAATTGCTCGAGTGGTCAGTCCCTGTTAGATGCAATAGAAATTAGAATACGAATTGTGTTGAGTTTTGCTACTGGTGCAAAATTTATCTTGGTAATCAACCCCATATTTTTGTGTGTATCCCTTAGCAACTAGCCTGACTTTATATCTGTCAAGGCTGCCATATGCTTTAAGCTTCACAGTATACGGACGCCGTTCGGGTACTGGGGGCACTTGAATATAAAAAAAAATTCAATCCCTTAAGGGGGAGCAAAGTTAATGTGCTCCTGGCACATATGCTCCGGGTAAAGAGAGAGACATAGAGAATGTGAGGAGAGAGGAGAGAAATAAAAAAAGATTGGAGAAGGACCACTGAATTAATTTCCCCAAAGAAAGGTATTGCGAAACTAAATGAGAGAAAAAATTGAATTTTATATAATGTCATGGGGGTGGAACTAGGTTCACAAAAAAATAATTAAATGATGCCGCGAGGGAGTGGGGACCGGATTCATAGCAGCGTCCCCCCAAAAATACTACATCCGGTAAAAAAAAAACCCCATACATTTGTCCTTCTAACATAGAATTTTATATAGGGCTTTACTTCTCTCATATTATAGGAGAGAAAAGTTATCTTATGTTGTGAGATAAATTAAATGGGCCCATCAATTTTTAAAAAAAGAAAAAAGAAAAAAAGGGAGGCACATTTTCTTATGCGAGTGTAACATAAGAAATGAATCTTATGTAACATAAGAGTATAATTTCCCTTTTATATAATGTCATGGGGTGGAACTATGTTCACAAAAAAATAATTAAAGGGGTTGATGGCTCTCCTGTAGCAGAAAAATGCCATTTCTGTCCGACGGACACAAAAAACAGTAGAGCCTACCTAAATTTAAAAACAAAAAAAAATTAGAAAAGGAATGCACGGCTTTTTATGGTGAGAGCAGAAGAAAGATTGATTTTAATGTGGGAGGAGATTTTGATTTTCCATAATTAAATAATCCCCCTCCCAAAAAAAAAAAATACTGCATCCGGTAAAAAAAAAAAAGAACCCATACATTTGTCCTTCTCTAACATAGGCCAATAATCCAAGTTTTCAATCGGCATTCTATTTAGTTGTTATTATTTAAGACAACATAAAAGGCCATCACCAATACAAGAAGTAACACCAACAAGTGCACAAAAAAGTTTCATTTCATATTTGTTTTTTTTCTTTAGAAAATGTAAAGGTACAAGTTGTATAAATTCGTACCTTTACTTCGTAACCTAGATCCAAGGGCCAAATAGCGAGAAGCCGTAGGAACCGTAACGTGGCTGTGCTTCGAACCGTACCAAACCAAACCAAACAACGTATTAAACACGGAGATAGAAACATAAATAAAAAAATCGCATCCGTACCTCATTCTCTTCGATAGTGACACTTGGATTCCTCCACTCACCAGTTTTTCTTACATTCAAAAAACAACAAAAACTGTCTCTCTCTTTCTCTCTCGCCGTCCCATGACTTTTTCTTCTCTCCTTTCACACCACCCACCAGCTCACCCTTTCGCTTCCCACGTAGATTTTTTTTTTTTTAATGAATTCTCATGTATTTATCAGTTTTTAATTAATTTTTACAAACCTTTTAACAATTAGTATATAACTGATATTTAAATAAATTAATTTTACATTTATAAATTAATGAATGCACGCTTGTTATTTAAATTATTCCGTTTACAATAAATTGTAAACAAATCATATATAATTTAAAAATTTCAACATAAATTATATATGAGCAATTATTTTCTTCTATCAGTGACTCGTGATATAAGTGAGTCTCACCTTACTTTTTTTTTCTTCACTATTTTATAAACTTCACTTATGCCATGAATAACTAGTACGAGAAATTTTTTTTCTTTTAAAATAAGAAAATATTTTTCCATTATATATTACACATTAAGTGCGTGTTTGTATTAATTTAACAAGACAAGGTATTATATCAATTTTTTATGTCTTATTTAATATAATATCATTAAATTATAATTTCATCTACTAATGAGAGAAAAGAAAAAAAATAAAAGTGGATTGAAATTGTAATCTAACGATATTAAAAAAAATATGTAAAATTAACATGAAAAAAATATAAGTATAGTATCTAATCTCTAATTTAATTTGATATTAAAAAAATTGATCAAAACTTTTATTAAAGAATCTTTTTTTAAAAAAGTAATAATTTCTTTAAAAAAATTATTTACCACATATTCTATGCAAGTAATATGGTATAATACTGCACCACTAGGGTTAGCCTAGTGGTGTGGGGTGTGTGTATTAGGAGTGTGTGTAATGTAGAGTGTTGTATTCAATTCCTTGTAACCTCAAAAAAAAAAAAATATGGTATAATACCTTATGTATAAGTGCATATATGAATCTCTTATATTTAAAATCAATTAAATATAAATAATAATAATAAATAATTAACATTCCATAAGATACTTATAAAAAGCATAAAGTAATGTATTTTTTTGGTATTTCAGGACAGAAAAACAAGCCAAAGATACTTATAAAAAGCATAAAGCAATGTATTAACACTCTTGTGCACGTAACAATGAACACATCTATCCCCTACCTTACCCCACCCGCTATCCCTCAAAGGTACAAACCTCATCATCACCGTTTCCAATCAGAAACATCATGTCCATTATTGGAGAATCCACGGTCACTATTCCCTGCGTATGTGATACGAAGTATTTCACATTCAAAATTGACAATTCTAAACTTGTATAAAAATAATTTAAAAAAAATAAAAAAAATAAGAGAGTTCCTCTTTTTTTGTCTCTCTCTCTCTTTCTCTCTCTTCTTGGAAAATGGTATTAGGTGCTGGATTTTTCTGGCCTTAACAGCATATTATTATTATAAGCTCATATAGGGAAACAAATACACTCCTTGTAGCACGCCGATTTGATTTCTCCACCTTAGTGAAAGCCTTATAACCATTTTCCTTAGGTAATGCTTTTTTAGCACTTTACTAACTTCCTTTCTGTTTGTTTTTTTTTTTTTTTTAATACCATTTTCCTTTCTGTGATGTAATTTGTTTTGTTTCTGTATGTGGGTCTTCTATATAAATATAAACTAATAGTATAATGGGCTTGTCATTCCTTAATATAATGATATTATCAGTATTGATTAGTGTAGTCAATGGGTATGTAATCATGGCTGTTTCTTCATTTTCAATATAAACAAATAAATATATTATATTTATTTTAATTTGTGGTTTCTGGTGACTTGATTTAAAGTAAATATCTTGTTAGATGGATTAGTTTATTCTGGTTTGCGTATGGGATTTCCAGGAATTTACGGAAGGTGGGGTTTGACTTTGTGGTAAAATATGTCAGCTGTGGAGGTTACGGAAGGTCAAGTTTTTGATTGATTAGAGTTTCTGTTACCTCTTCAGCACTTCATGTTTGTTGCCTTTTAATTGAGATTTCCATCTCCGAATGGAATTGGATCTTTCATCTCAGGTCAACTTATTCGTGCTGGGTTTTGATTGGATTGGATGATTTTCTCATTTTCTGTGGGAAAAATTTGATTTTTCATGGTTCAACCCGTCAATTGTTGTTGATGGGTCTGAGGAAATCTAGTCTCCGTAGCTCTGCAATTCGTCTGAGAAGATTGTTTGAGGGCTACCCTTTTGGTTTGGAGCCTTGTTCCCATATAGTGTGGATAAAGTGATTTTATAGCTGCAGGGTGTTTGAAGTTTCTTCTCTTAAGGATTTGGGACAAGATGGATGAAGATAGTAGCAATTCTTGGATAAGAAGGGCAAAATTCTCCCACACAGTCTGTCACCGATTGGATTATTCCAGATCACGCTCTTACATCATTCATTCAGAGCACAATTCGGGTTTGAAATCAAGGCCAGAAGCAGCATCAGCAGGATCAGCATCAGCATCAGCATCAGCAGCAGCAGCACCTGTTTCTAAGGTTTCACTTTCTCAGGTTAAGAAAAATCCCATGACGAACAAGCAGAGATCTTTGTCCCCTTCGCCTGAAACCTTTATTTCTGAAACCTTTAAGGAAGCCAAACATGAACAGAAGAGGTTCTCAACACCTGGCCCACGGAAGAAAGACCAGGATAAGAGAATCATGGGGAAGTTACTGAACAAGGATTCTCAGGTGTCCAATTCTAAATCCCCTTACAATAGTCCAATTAAGCACTTTGCATCAATGAAATTAAGCGACAAGTTCAGGTACCGCAAGGAATCAGGGTGGATAAAGTATTTTGACCTTGGTGGAGGAAGGGTTACTGCTGTGGAAACTGCTGAAGAATGGAACGTTGACCTCTCTCAGCTCTTTCTTGGTCTTAGGTTTGCTTATGGAGCTCACAGTCGCCTTTACCATGGTATGTATAAGGAGGAACCTGTTGCTGTAAAAATTATCAGGGTACCCGATGATGACGAAAATGGAACCTTGGCTGCTAGATTAGAGAAACAGTTCATTAGAGAAGTTACACTTTTATCTCGCCTCCACCATCAAAACGTTATCAAGGTAATCAAATCTAATTCTTTCCCTTCTTTTGTACATGTTTTTAAGATGATTTTTTATTTTTCAGTACAAATATAATGTGTAGTACCTTTACATCTCAACTATATAAACTTTAAAAAAGAGGATTAGTTAGCAAAACAAATAATACATATGTTCTTCTTGCATATACTATCTGTTATTATTGTTGAATACAAGGTCAGCATATCCATTATTTTGTACTAATTACTGGACTTGACCCTTCAGTTATGTTGAAATAATCAGCTGTAAAAATAAGGATACTACTCAATGCATCCTTTCTAGTATATTTTGGTCTGATTGTGCAGTTCGTATCATGCTGAGAGAATTTAATGTAATAACAAGGCTGGTACTTTATACATGTTTTCTCAGACATCTTGCTCTGATTACACAGTTTGTAGCAGCATGCAGAAAGCCACCTGTTTATTGTGTAGTCACAGAATATCTTTCTGAAGGTTCCTTGAGGGCATATTTGCATAAGTTGGAGAGAAAAACTATTTCTCTACAAAAGCTAATTGCTTTTGCTCTGGATATTGCTCGTGGAATGGAGTATATACACTCTCAAGGTGTCATTCATCGCGACCTTAAACCGGAGAATGTCCTTATTAATGAAGACTTTCACCTTAAAATTGCTGATTTTGGCATTGCTTGTGAGGAAGCATACTGCGACTTATTTGCTGATGACCCTGGTACCTACCGCTGGATGGCACCTGAGATGATCAAACGAAAATCCTATGGGAAAAAGGTTGATGTATACAGTTTTGGACTTATCTTATGGGAGATGGTGACCGGAACAATACCATATGAGGATATGACTCCTGTCCAGGCTGCTTTTGCAGTGGTAAATAAGGTATGCTCCTTTGCAATTAAGGCTTATGGATCTGTAATGTGTGAATATTACAAACTCTTTACGTATAACACCATTCTTCATAGCTAGTAATAGTACTCTGTGTAAAGGTATGGGTTGCTTTTTGTGTACTCTGCATTTGAAACTTGTCAAATAATATGATAAGGTACAGCCCCTTTTCGCTGGCCAAACCCTACTTCTTGTATGATTTCTTATCGTTTGGAGTTGGTGGTTGTTTTGGACATGTTTGAATGACCAGCAAATAAGCATAGTGTGCAGCTGGACCTGTGTTCAGTTCACGATTCACTTCACTTGCAGCTAGACAATGCACGCTCCATTAACTAATATGTTTTGCAATATCTAAATTTGTTTTATGGAAGTGACCATTATTCTCACATGTAGCCGGGTTTTTGCCTTGTTCTCCTTCTGCGAAATGTTTCAACCTTCAAAGTTTTATGTTGTGATTGAAAGGACATTAATTTCTTTTGCAAAGATTCCTCCACTTATATCACGGTTGTAATTACTCTTCTCAATTTTTATCCTTTTTTTTATATCATAAGTTTTTATTTCAATATGTTGAGTTTTGATTGCCAGAGGAGGCATCTTTCTCCTGGCTGTTCACTTTTTGAGGAAATCAATTATAATGCCACTGAATGAAATGCAAACAAGTTTATAGCTCCTTTGAAGCCATGAAAAGACTCTATATTTTGTAGGCTTATAGCAAAACCAAAAGCCAGGGTTTACCTATGTAACATTAATACTTGTGATGTGTATTTTTTCAGAATTCACGGCCTGTTATTCCTTCAAACTGCCCAGCTGCAATGCGAGCTTTAATTGAGCAATGTTGGTGCATGCATCCGGACAAGAGGCCTGACTTCTGGCAGGTTGTTAAGGTATTAGAGCAATTTGAATCTTCGCTTGCTCGTGATGGAACCCTGACTCTGCTGCAAAACCCTTGTTGCCAAGATCATAAAAAAGGGCTTCGTCATTGGATTCAAAAGCTTGGTCCTGTGCATCAAAATAGTGGCCCTGTCCCTAAACCTAAATTTACATGAAACTTCTAAGTGGCTTGACTTTTGTAGTACACCAGGTCCATTGTAAGTAATATTGTTTGGTTTGAAATATCCCCCCCCCCCCCCCCCCCCCCAAAAAAAAAAAAATTAAAAATTCAAAGGTTTGTTTTTTGAGGTTAGCTGGTTTTAGTCTTCTTTATTAACGTTCATGTGAGAGTAAATTGATTTGTAGGCTTGTACATTGAGGTGAAAGCATCTTTTATTTACTTTGTTGTGCATACCCCTGATTATAAGCTATCTATTGCACTAGGTTAGGGAGTAATTTTATTTCTGGGCCACAGTTTCGTGTTTTTAATTTGGGAAAGATTATATTTATAAACTTTTTATTTACAAACTCTTACAAATTATACTATGTCTGACCGGTAATACACTTTTGAATAAAGTATTACCGGTCAGACATAGTGTAGTTTGTAAGTTTTTAAAAAAAAAAATTTGTCAATAAAGCCCTACTCTTTTAATTTTATATAAGGTACTTGTATTCTTAGTTTCTCTAATGTCAAAGTCTAAACTCCATATTTTAATGTGTCATTTTTTTAATTGATGCAATGAACTCTGCATAGTCGACCTGTGAGAGTTCATAAGTGCTTATTTTCCTTTAATTGAATTTGAAGTACTATTTTCAGAAGCCTGCCATATACTCGGTCAGAGTGGCAGAATGATCAACGTAGATCTAAAATTTGATAGTTACAACTTGAAGGAAATGATGACATGATGGGTATAGGCGTATAGCATTGTGTTTGAAATGATCATGTATGTGTTGATACTTAAGGGTGTTAAAGTAATTACAGGATTTATATAGCTGATCTGCATTGACGCCTTTCATTGTTGATTTTTCTTTTTTCTTTTTTTCCTATCTTAATGTCTCAGTATTCAGTAATTTAATGCACAGATAAGTGTCTGCATGCATGTGACAGTAAAGCTTAATGTTATTTTACTTTAGATATGCTATCCTCTGCCTCCGACTACATGTGGTTTCAACTAACTTTTTGCACAGTATGTAATTCTGTCATTTGAAGTTAAAATATTGGAAAATTTATTATTTGGTTGTTGTTTGTTGAGTATTTTGATCGAGTCACATTCATGGCACTTTCACCATATATGACATTGTACGAGCAATTTATCCTTGTGTTGTCAGGTTGTTGCTTTCACCACTTTAACATACATGAGTAAAGTATGTACAATGAATTTACCAAAAAAAATATGTGCAATGAATCTGTAAGACATTGCATGTGACTTCTTAAATTCTATTGGATCAGTTGGCCATATTAAGACCTTCCTTTTATGATTTCCGTATAGAAAATGACCATTATATTTAAATTAGGTAAAGAAAGACTGAGCTTGTTTTACCTACCATTCACTTTTTATTCAAAATCCTCACCAAACATATCCATACGTGCTATGTAGAGGTGACAAAGTAGGTAGTCTGGCCGTTTGGTGGGTTGGACCGCTGGCCTAAATTTTTTTTACATTAAAACGTCTCGCCTTTTCCCTCCATCAACATGTCAAAAAATGAGTAAATTTGTCCCGCCTCGTTTTTGAGAATGAGTTGTAAAATTTAATCCGCCTCGTTTAATGACGGAGTGAACTAGCCCACCGAGCCGAGCTTATTTTGCCGACCCTAATGCTATGTAATGTTAGCAGCAAATTTAAATTAAGTGTTGCTAATGTAATTTGACGATAGGCCATGTCAATGTCATGGTGTCACATTGATTTGTTTTGTCGAAATGCAACGATTTTTGAGGGAGTGGATTTTCTCATGTATTATTTAATATGATCATATTATGTGAGATAATTCTAACCATATAAGGATGAATCCAGAGGCGGACACACATGTTGAGAAAGGGGGCACGTGTCCACCCTTGAAATCTGATGTGAAAATACGAAAATGCCCTTCTCTTAAAATTCAAGTTTCTTCCTCCTTCTATTTTATTTTTCCGCGAGCTTTTTTTCTCCTTCACCTCCATTATCCAAACATAACAGTAGTCAGCAGAGAGCTCTATTCCAGACCTATTGTTTGCATCTACAGATTCATCTCCTCTCAAACTTCAATCTCCGTTATTGAAAGTTGAAACGTTTGCTTCTTTCTCAATCGTCGGTCCAGTTCAGTCACAATCCGTCCAGATCTAGATCTAGATCTAGACTAGACCCAGCCAGTCGGCAGCTGCTCGCAAGTCACATTCCAGTTGTGACCCAGCCGCCGGCACCGTGATTTCGTTTCGTGACTGGTGACTAGCGAAGTTGTTCTCCCGTTTGTTCATGACCACAGTCCAGGTTGGTTCAACCGTTCGTTTGTTCTTTTTCTTATACCATTTTTGAAGTTTCATTTTCATTCCTAATAGTTCAGTACATATTAGAAAAATTAGGGATGACACTTTGATTGCTAAATACTTGAGGAGAGTCCCCTATGTTTTTTTTCCTCACTCATCTCATTTGGAAGGAGCAACTGAAATGGTTCAGTGCAGCCCTTTAGGATTCTTTTCAAGAATACAACTCAAAAAGGGCAAAAATCCCCAAAATATTTGACAAAATGATATTTTTAATAAAAATATAATCAAGGTTCTAGATGCTTTATAAATGAAAAGTTAAAATTGTTTGACTATTAGTCATTTAACAATACCTAAATAAAAGATCTACTGGGATATTACCATAAATTTCGGAATCAATTATGACAAGTTTAAAATTCAGGGCAATATTTTAAAATAAGAAACAATTTAGGGAGACTTTGTGTAATTTTTTCAATGATAAATTACTATTATTTTAAATTTCAAGTAATAATACTTTTTAGTTGTACTTTGATTCACTCTATATAATTCTTTTGCATAATAAAAAGCTTCGATTGTATTTGAGTCATTTAAAAATTCTTTTTTTGTTAGAAATATGACCCCCTTGCCACTATTGGTGATGATTACAGATAGAAGGCATTATGGCATTGCATAAGATGATATGTATGTTGTTACTAAATTTAGTTAAACATAAGTGTCCAGCATAATAATAAATACATACTAAAATTCCTTTTCTTTCTCAACATCATTGTTTCGAGTTCCCAATTCGAATCATAGTAGTCAGTTCAGTGGTATCTGGAATATGGTTTGGTTTTCTTGTCTATTCATATAAATTGTATTACTGTTTATATATTCTTAACTGTTCATAGTAGCCAGTTTAGTGTTATTATTGTTTTTATTATCATATGACCAATCCTTTGCTTATGGTTGGTATATATTTTATTTATTGTATTCATAGTGTAAAATTTGTATTAGGGTTGACCTGTGAAGTTTACCAAGTTTCCTTGGATGATTGAATTGCATAGATTTAGATATGCTACATATTAGAATAAAATATTTGTTCATTACATTTTCATTCCTAATAGTTATTTTGTCATATATTTTTAAATAAAAAAAAAAAGATTTCACATCATATTGATGAACACTTGTGAGTTGTGACAATCAAATTGTTTGAGGAAAATCACTCTAATTGGTAGGGTCAAATACGAGCTGTATGGTTTCTCTTTTTTATTTATTGAGTTATTTTTGTCATTTGCCATTTTTTAGGATGGAAAGGTATATAGGTTCTTTTTTTACAAAGTTAAGTGGTGGTAGTACTAAATGTTCTCGATCTGAATCTGCATCTATTGATTTATTTCAAGATAAACAAAATAAGTGTGCTACTCCCTCAAGTCAAAACAAATCAACAATAGAAGGTCCACTGAATTTGTATGTTTCTGATCCAGGTAAAAGACTTCCTATTATGAGATTTGCGAAGAGTGCTTAAGAAAGGGAAATGATTCAAAGAATTTATCTAACAAATGGTCCTTGTCAACCAAAACTTGACAACTTTCCTCAATCCTTAATTGGGGGTAAAATGCGTAGATTTAATCCTCAATGGTACAATGAGTTTGGCACTTGGTTGGAGAATAGTGAATCAAAAGATGCTGTATTTTGCTTGCATTGTTATCTATTTAAATGTGAGCATGGTGATGGAAGGGGTGGTCAAGATTCATTTGTGGGAGAAGGATTTAGCAATTGGAAGGACAAACAACGACTTCTTAAACATATTGGGAAAGTTGAAAGAATTAATAAGTTGTGCTTCAGTGCTGCCAAAGATTTGATGAATCAAAATCGACATATTGACATTGTTGTGTCTGGTATTTCTGACAAAGCCAAATAGGATTATCGTATTCGTCTGAATGGTTCTATTCGATGTATTCAATATCTCATACGACAAGGTTTGGCTTTCCGGGGACATGATGAGACAGATGCTTCAATGAATCAGGGAAATTTTGTGGAGCTTGTAAAATTCCTTTGTGAAAGCAATAAGGAGGTAAATAATGTATCTCTGAATAATGTCCCAGAGAATCTCAAAATGATAGCTCCCTCAATTCAGCAAGATATTAATAATGTTACTGCAAGTTTGTTACTAGAGCTATTATTTCAGACATTGGGGATAATTTCTTCTCTATACTAGTTGATGAAGCTCGTGATATATCAATTAAATAAAAAATGGCCATTGTTTTAAGATATGTGAATTGCAACGACGACATTATTGAACGTTTTCTTGTCTTGTTCATGTTTCAGATACTACAACTAGTTTACTTAAAGAAACGATTGAGTTAATTTTTGCCAAAAATGGCTTGAGCTTGACAAAGATTCATGGTCAAGGTTATGATGGTGTAAGCAACATGAGTGATCAATTCAGTGGTATGAAAAGCTTGATTTTAGTTGAAAATAATTTTGCTCACTATGTTCACTGCTTTTCACATCAACTTCAGTTAGCTCTAGTAGCTTGTGCTAAAAAGGTTTACACATTGACCAACTTCTTTAATTTTATACCGTTGTTGTGTAATGCAGTTGGTGCTTCTTGCAAAAGAACAAATATTTTGAGAGAAAAGCAATTTGATGAGATAGTTAAAAGTATTGCAAGCGATGATGTTCAATCAGGGAGAGGCTTGAATCAAGAAATGAGTTTGTCACGACCAGAGGACACACGTTGGAGCTCACATTATCGATCATTGGTAAGTCTGTGTACATTGTTTGGTCATGTGCTTGATGTGCTAGAAATTATAAAAGATGATACAACCCTTTTGCATGCAAAAAGGTCTGAAGCCTCTGGCCTTATGATGCGTATGCAAACTTTTGAATTTGTATTACTTTTGAAAATGATGATCATTGATCAAGGTCTTGGCAATAACGAGTGAGTTGTCACAAGAACTTCAAAGAAAAGATCAAGATATTGTGAATGCTATGACTCATATAAAAGTTTTAAAGGTGTTATTATAGAAGATGAGGGATACTGGGTGGGATAATATATTTCTGAAGACTTCTGAATTTTATATAAAACATGATATAAATATCCCTGATATGGAAAGTGTACTTGCATTACAAGAGAGAACAAAACGTAAAGGACCAGTTACTCATCTGCATCACTTTAAGGTTGACATATTTTATGCAGTGATAGATACTCAACTTCAAGAGTTGAATGATCGTTTTAGCGAAGTTAGTTCGAATTTGCTGGAATGCATGGCATGTTTAAATCCGTGCAACTCTTTCTCGGCATTTGACAAGAATAAGTTGTGAGAATTCACTGGCTTTTATCCTTCAGATTTTGATTTGAATGATTTTGTCATGCTTGAATATCAGCTCGACACGTATATTGCTGATATGCAAAGTGATCCTGATTTTTTGAATTTGCAAGGAATAACTGATCTTGCCAAGAAGATGGTTGAAAAGAAAAAATATATTGTGTATCCTTTGGTTTATTTACTTGTAAAGTTAGCATTAACTTTGCCTGCAGCAACTGCATCTGTGGAAATAGCATTTTCAGTTATGAAATACATCAAGACCGTAATTTGTAATCAAATGGGGGATGAATGGTTGAATGATTGTTTAGTGCCATATATTGAAAAAGATGTATTTGAGAGCATTGATAATAAGGCAATTATGATGGAATTTCAAAAAACAAGGCCTAGAAAGATGACATTGTAATTATTTTTATTGTAATATACTTTTGTTATTAAAATATATGTACTTGAACTTATTGAGTGCCCACCCTTCATTAATATCTTGGATCCGCCACTGGATGAATCAATAATGATAAGAAAAGAGAAAAAAATATTGGGATAGGAAGTTATCACCATTGATTTATTGATTAATGGTAAAATATTTTTTCACATGAGAGGATCTATTTCCTTTTCACGTTATATAGAACATTCTTACAGTAGCCCTTGTAGACTCTCTTAAGTTGAATTTTATTTTGGGCTTTCATTGTTCCAAACTTGAAAGTCCTAAACTGGACATAGACACATGGTACACTAAGCGGTTTAGGTCTTTTTTTTTTAAGCTTGGTTTAGGTGTTATATGATTTACTAAATATAAAAGATAATATAAAAAAATTTGTACTTTATTTAATTATTTAAACAGGTTTTGTATGATGTATATTGAGGGATGGTATAAACAAAACCATAATGAACAATGTACATGACTAAAATTTTGCGATATCCATTAATAGAATAACACAAAAATTATTATAATATCCTTTTGTGTTGAACATTGATTTGAATATGTTGTTGTTGCTCGGGCTTGAGTAATTTTTTAAAATTAATCTTTAACTTCTTTAGGCCTCATATGTGGTTTAAGGGCTAGGTAATAGATACGATTCCTCTTTGCCCAATCTGCTGGCTTACAGAGAAAATTGATATTCATACTGTTGTGCAATTTGCAATCAAAATAATAATCACACAACTATGCAAGTGCATATGTCACAAATAATAAATGGATGTGTGAGTTCAAGTATCATTCACATGGGGATGATTTATAAAGCAATGATTACTCGAGTAAAGAAATCAAGAAAGGAATAATCTTTATGGGTGGATTTGTAAAATAAAAGAGAATTAAAGTAAACAAAATAGCAAACTAATTAAGGGATTAACAGATGGATGACAAACAAGTCATGATCAATTTCCCTGATACAGCAATACTGCAACAATGCTATAACATCGACTCTGTCAATTTTCAATTAGTAACTGAACACTAATGTATGCTGGGGCTTTTGGCCAACCTATCATATATACCCAGTAACTAATTTCCCACGAGTCTATGGCTAAATTAATTACTGAATTTATTAAGTTCAAATTCTAGGCTATGTGGTGTGAATGAGTTCTCTATTCACCACTTAATCATGTTACTTAGCTTTTACCTAATAAATCGAGTTACTTTTTTTTACCTAATCAAACCAATTAAGTTACTTTTTTCACCTAGTTAACCAAGTTACTCCCCTTTTACCTAATTAACCCAATTAAGTTACTTCTTTTCACCTAATTGACCCACACAATTCAACAAGGGTCTGGAATTGAATCTCGGTCCCAACCTCCTCAATCATATATACGACTTTTGTTCAAGCACACATGAATAAATTAAACATACTTGTTGAATAACTAATTGAAAATTAATAAAAATCTACACTTAGGTATCCATTACAATATCATAGCATAGGTACTATATCACCAAATCTAAGAGCTACTTAGGTCATAATGGAAATAAAGAAAAAGAAAAGAAAAAGAAAAGAAAAAGAAGAGAAGACATTGTGATAGTTTATAAATTATAACAATGCAATAGCAGAATGCTGCTCTCTATCTTCACTTTCAAGGAACTCTCCCTCTCTCTAAATGTGATGTGGTAGTACCTTCAGTCTTCCCAGCATATTTGAATTCGTGGGGTAGTCCTCTTTAAATAGGAAAAATGGTGAGTTACTTGGGCCTTAAGTTTGGGAGTGAAAGCCTATGAATTATGCAGCTATAGTATTACTTATCCCTATTATCTTGGGTTGTTGACACTTGATTAGATAAGGTCTTATCCTCTTGAATTAATGTGAAAATATTGTTGCTTAGAGGATAAGAGCTTATCGTCCTTGATTGTTGAGATTTAAGATGTGGTTTGATATTCAAAAAGTCATTATCCCGTGCTTGCTAGTGCATTATCCTTTGTTGGAAACTTTAACTAACTTTTGAAATTCGAATTTGAATTGTTCCTTCGTCCTTGCTGTATTCTCGTCCTGATTGCTGTATGATTACTTCACTCGTCAGTTTTTCTGCTATAACACTTGGGCATCAACTTTTTCTGCAAAGTAAAGTCACTCATCAAGTCATCTATTCTTACATAAAATCAAGGATATTTGTCTCATTTTTCACACTTAGTTATCTCAAAGAACTTAATAATGAATATGCAACATTTAACTCAATCATCATGCAAATAAGACAACTTATATGAAATTTATGCAGCAAATTTATCATAAAAATACTGAATTACCTTTCTTTTGGGAGAGTTAACACACTTTAAACTAAAAATGCTGCTCGTCCTCGAGTAATAAAAAAAGGAAAATGATTAATTGACTTGCATAAATTTTGCTGTATAATTGCAACAATGACTCTTATTGAGATGAGCAGTTTTGATGTAGCATTCCAACAGTAATGTACACGTGAGAGTAGCTTCTCAACCTTGGCTTACACTTCAACTTTGGGAGTCCTTGTTAGTAGGGGTGTTCATCAACCGATCCAAATCGATTCAAATCGCGGTGACCGAACCGAAAAATCAATAACCGAATAAACCGAAAATCGAAAAAAAACTACAAATTTTAATTAGATTGGATCAGTTTTCGGATTGGTTGATGAAAACCGATTCAATCCAAACCGATCAAATATATTAATTTTCCTCTACCTACTTGGGTCTTCTCTTAATCACAGCCCAAAATTTTTTAAACCCAAGACCCATTAACCCATCAACTAAACTCAAGAAAAAACCTAGTCACATCTCATCAACAAAATTTCATCTGTGTAGAGCTTCATATCTCATTGCCTAAAAGAAAAACTATATTATCATTTACTGATACTTTTGTATTTCAAAAAATAAAATAAAACTACAAAGCCAATATATACAAAAGATGTTATTTGCACAATAATCATGAAACAAATTTTAGGATTTTTAAAAATCGATAATCGATCCAATCCAAACAGAAAGAAATTGGATTGGATTGGATTGGATTTGAAATAAATCCAAATTGAATGGATGATTACATGATCAAACCAAAGGGGTTGGATCAGATGATTTTTGCTTCCAAAATCGATCCAATCTAGAATGCAAACACCCTTACTTGTTAGCCTAACTTCTCTTGGCTTCTTGCTTCTGGAATATTGACTGTGTCTGTGTGGAGAGTTTCTTTGTTGACTTGATCCACTTGAGAGCTTCAAACTAAGAATCATAAGGTCTAGTTGCTTCATCCATACTTTGTCAAACTTGAATCAAAACTCATGTGTAGAGAATTGAAGGAACGAGTTTCCACCTTGCTTGCTTCTTATTTAACTTTGGCCCCTTCTTTTTTTGTGGTCTTTGCCCATGTGCATTGGCTATGTTTTTACATTCATACGGTTAAGGGTACTAACCTTTGTTCATGATTGCGGAAGATTATTTGTTCTTCTAAAGCCCTTTCTTGAAACTTTTATCAAACTATTTACCCTTTTTAATACGCTCTCTCTTCTTGATGGAAAAGTTGAGGCGGTTCTAATGGTTAGAGAATGAAACGTCAAGTTTTTATCCTTTATATATAATTTGTATCCAAAAGACGTGGCTCTTCGCATCTAATGGATATGACTATTCCCATCAAGCAGTTAAGAAACATCTTCCCAAAAGTCATTTGCCAATAGTCATTTAGCCCTTTTATGAATTATTAAATCATATGCATTTATCACAGGCACATGAGTCATTTCTTACAATTAGGGATTCCAACACCAGCTAATATCTAAAAAAATAAATTTTAAATAGAAAAGTGTTCTTTGGATCATTGAATTTGTGACATTTGCATAGACTTTTTTTCCTAGGTGCAAACTTGCATAAATTTAGTAAATCTAAAATATAAGGACATATGGTCTGCATTTAAAATGAATATACAACTGACATTTCTCTCATGTAATCTATGAATAAAACTTTAGCACTAAGTGTGACAAAGGTATTATAATTATGTATTTCGAAGAGTACATAGTTATAATATTAAAGTTGCTTTTTTTTCCTCTCTCTCTTTCTACGTCAGACGACAAGTTTCTGAAGAGAGATAATTTTTTTAATATTATAACTATGTATTCTCTGGAATACATAGTTATAATACCACCGTCGCATTGAGCACTCAGTGTGACTGTAGTACTAAAGTTTT